AATGATAAGTAATGCTATTGGCATACAATTATTGAAAACCATACATTATATCCAGCTGGCTCAGTTTGCTATAAACATTCTTTGAGCACCAGGACTTTAACATAAATGAGGTTGAGATTCTGGATGGGCTCAAGGGGCTTAAAAACAACAAATCCCCTGGGATGGATGAACTGTATGCACTCGGGTGACACCGCACATTTTCTGTTAAAATCATCTCTATCTAAGGCTGGATATAATAATAATAATAATAATAATGATAATAATCCTTGCATTTGATATAGCGCCTTATCACGTTGTTGAGATGCCTCAAAGTGCTTTGCAGAATATATTGTAAATAGATAAATATATTGTAAATGTATTTATATATTTATTTATATTATATCATTTATACTATTATTATGTATATATATATATTGTAACTATGTTGGACGTTATCCGAGGCACTTTTTGGGGCATTATTTATAGTTGCATTAAATGGCCTTGTGCCTATGCAAATCAGAACCGAATGAGGAAAGGCTCTGGTCGAAACCCTCAGTAATAACTGGTAATCCTTATCACTGTTCCATGCTGTTCAGGCTCAGTGGCTCCTTACCTTGGATTTTGGAGATTAGTTAATTGCTCCTCCTCCAAGAGCTGGTCAATAATCTCCCTATTTTGTTAATCAGCCAGTTAAGTAAATGGACAATTTTTCTGGGGCCTTCATCTTATGCGACAAACACCTTTTATTCGTAAGAAAATGTAAGTGACTGGTTTATATTTCTAAAAGTCTTATTTGTAGCTCCGTCCTAGCAGTTCTCTGATAGAAAATACATTGTAAATTCTGGGTTTACTTTGGCACAGTTGTAGACGTGGACAATATGAATCACGGGCTTACTCGAAAGACTTCAAATAAAGATGGCTTTTATCACGAGAAGTGCCCTGAAGCAAACTAAGGCATTCTTGATTTCTTTGATTACAATTACAATCAGGAGACGCTTGCATTCTCTCTGTGCTGCGCGCAGATCTTCCAGATTACGTAGCTTCATTGGTTGCCACAGCATTTTATATGAGATCATTGGCACAAGGTCTCTTTTCTTCCTGTTTATTCTGTTTGAGATCTCATTAGAGAGGTAGAATTGTGTTCTGATTTCTAGTTTTACATATACTAGTGCTGGATTAAGCGCGTTGAGATGTCTTAGCCATGTGATAAGGTGCTATATCAAATGCAAGGATTATTACTGTATTATTATTATATATGTATCTGGGCAGTGCTATGTTGTTTACAAGAAGACTTGTAAACCTGTTCTATTGGGGTTAAAAAAATACACCATTCAATGTGATCATTAGAAATGGTGCAAATTATCATATTATCAGATATTCTCCTCATGACTATGTTCCACTCACTATCTTTTATAGTTGAATTAAACCATTATTTCTCAACCGTCTGAAATGCAGGAATGAATCGGTGAGCACACTATCTATCTCCTGTTTGGCCACAGCTACTGCGCTTTCACAAAGAATAGTGGATGGAAGTTTATCCACTGTCAATTATCGATTGGGACATTACCAGGAGCAGAATGTCCAATGGTGTGATAATTGTCACAACAAATATCGCATTTTACATCAAATTAATCACATCTACGGGCTGTCGCAAAGCGCTTCACAAGTTCTACTCTAGAATACAGCGACTATTTTGTAAATTCTTACTCTTGGTGTCTATATATTCAAAGTAACAAGTGGGGTAGGTTGTGTTCATAATACAGTAAAATGCGCACAAATTTTTTCTTTATAAATTGTATAATCGCCTAAATCATACATGCACCTGAATCTCATTCAGTTTCCTATCAAAACCACTTAGATTTCTTTGCACGAGTCGTATTTTATGAACAAATCATCTGCTAACTCGTAACCCCGCTTCCCTATCCTCCATTACTTCCGCTGAATTGAATCGTGGGATGAATTGCCACATGCGCAGAAGAACTTAATTTCCCGTGATTCAATGCGATTCCAAAGCGACAGGTAAAGATGCATTGAATCACTGAAAACATAGTCTTGATCCGTAACTCCAAGCGCATTTACCGGCTGCAGTGAATTATGCATGAGCAGTATAGATTATTGATTAAATCTGATTTTATACATTGTGGAGTCCTGTAGCTCAGTGGTTAGAACACTCGCCTCGCAAGCGAGCGGGACCTGGGTTCAAATCCTGGGCAGGACGAAACACTGGGCAAGTTTCCTTACTCCACACGCCTCTGTTTTACCAAGCAGTAAGTGGGAACCTGGTTGTTGGTCAAGTGGCGGATTGCTTTTCTGGGGGTAATAATTCCTTCCAAAGGATTGTTCCTTCCACTGCTGTGCCCAATTGGCTGCCACGTTTCACCCACAAAATATACAGTTAATTCACTTTACTGTATATTCTGTGAAGCGCTTCGAGATGCCTTGAAGATGTGATAAGCATTTGCATATCAAATGCAAGGAAGATTATTATCATCTTAATCAATTTGCCTGTGACTCGCGTAAGTCATATTAAATGTTCTGGCCCTGATTAACATAATTTAGTTTTACTGAGCTGTGTAACGCCAGCTACTTGAGTATATTCATAACAAGGCAAATAAGACACACGATTTATTAGCTTCTGCCAAAAGTGCAGAGTAACCCCCTTACTATGCTTCACTTTTACTAGAGCCTGATAAGGCTGGCTGCCAGCCAGTCAGCGAAGGATTACACACCAATGTAACATGCTGGTACATATTCGCATTGAATCTGTCACCTTAGTGAATTATAAAGTTTGTGTTGTTGAATTTGCAACACAGAATTTGAACTAATCTGTTTAAAGTTAATAAGAAGTGCTATGGTACTTATGTGAACATTACCCGTGTAATTAAAAGTCTAATTACACCCTTTATTACTGTATATCATAATATTGGTACAGACATTATTTTTTGTGCATAAACTCTTCAACTGACTATAATACTTTACCCAATTTATATTCTGCTTTCACACCTCATGGCTGTGGGTTGGACTTTATGTGAAAATTGCTGCCACATTTGTGTACAAAAGAGGTCGCTACAGTTAAGAGTAAAACTCTGTAAAGCTCTTTGAGTCATTTTGACATTCAAGGTGTTATAAAATGCCATTTTTTTAAGTCTTCTCTTAAAACCCTCTTTAAAAACAGCTGATAAGAATGTAAAGTCGTCCATTGATCTCTTGTGGAGTCAGTCTTACATCGTAACATAGCAGAGGTTCTGCATCGATTTAAACAACAACAACAACAAGATCACATGCGCTGGACAGAGTACAGCATTTTAATATTTATGTCAGAAAACATTTGTCTTTTTGAAATCCTTACTCTCTTACTGTTTATCGTAATCTATGACTATAATAATTCTTGCATTTGATATTTAATAATCCATACATTTTGATATGAATAAATAGATTTTCAGTAATTACTGTTCCGTTTAGTGGCTGTATATTTGCAGGCAAACACACCAGCCAATTTGCACACAGCAGTGTCCCACAAACAGCCAGGTGAATGATCAATTTCACTGGAGGATTGTTGGCAAGGACATGGAACAAACTCCCTGGTTCTTTTTGAAAAAATGTTAGTGGGTTCACCTGAACAGGCAGATCAAACCTCAGTTTAACATCTCATCTGAAGGACAGCACTTGTCACCATGCAGCACTCCCCCAGCACTGCACTGGAGTGTCAGGCTAGACCATGAGCTCAGCATCCACGGTTAAGGTCTTGAACCTGCAGCTTTCTGTCCTGGAGGCTGGACAGCTAATAAATGACCAAAGCTACCACTTGCACTAAATTTTTTTAATTGTATTTGCTGAAAGCAGCTCATTCGTAAAATGAGCTGCATGAAACGATCGCAAACAAGTTAGGCGCTGTATGTGTGAGGTTTTCAAATAATGCAATCCAATTTAGCAGTTGGTAATGTTGGCTTCAACATTGTCGTAAATTATACTGTATTTTTAGTTGTGTTTGTGACTTCTGTGACCTGCTAAACCCTTATCAACCTGTCCGCTCCCTCTGCTCAGCAGGGTCTGGTCTGCTCTAGGTCCCCCGCCCAGCCTACCCCACCATTGGCGGTCAGGCCTTCAACCTCTCCGCTCCCACCCTTCGGAACTCCATCCCACATTCCCTTGGCCTCGCTCCCTCCCTCGCCTCCTTCAAGGCACGTCTCAAAACCCTCCTCTTCGACCGTGCCAAGTGGAGAATTTGTTTGGGTGGCTGGTAGATTCTCTCTTTTAACAATGCATTTCAGAGCGCTCAGAATTTGGCAAGTTCTTAAATAGCCTTTAATTCTGAAGCTGGTGTTCTGTACGTTCTTTTAAGAACTACATAAAACAGACTTCAAACTTAAAAGTTTCAAGTTCTGGACGACAATCCTTCGATGTTCGTTTGTGAGATATTGTACTCAACTTGACTGCTGCATTTGCCTGCACATTTGCGAGTGGGGTTGGGGGGGGGTGGGGGGGTGTTGGTGAGAATGAGGGGGAAGATGATTAAAAGGGTAGTCAAAGAGGTACGTTTTCTCGTCCTCAGATTTCTTCTGAATTTATCCCCCTTCAATCGCAGGTCGTGTCCTCTGGTTTCATTATTCTGGACTATTCTGTAGTTTTCCTGATACCTATTCTAAATGTACATTTTATTACTTGTCATATGCGTCCTCCAGTTTATCTTTCCTTATTTTAATGTAATAATAATCCTTGCATTTAATTAATCGTCTGGATTTACCTTATCTATACCATTAACTGTTTTATATATTTCAAAGAGATTCTCCCTGTCAGATTGTAAAGCTTAGGTTTCTCTTATCTTTTTTTATAGCTTATCCCCGCCCCCTCTCCATCAAGTCCCCCTGACGTGAAAGGCGCTACACAAATATAATTTGTTGTTGTTGTTGTTACTGCCTTGGTGTCTTTTCAATAACTTTCTAATAAGAACATGGAGCGAAATTTGTGAACTTTAAATTCTTGTTTCTTTTGATGTTTTTTCTCTGTTTTCCAGGAGATCACTGTTAGGGATGTTCCCACTATCTGGAAAAAAGATCATCTTTGACAGCTTCCCTGACCCCTCGGACACTTGGGAAATTATTGAAACTATTGGGAAAGGCACGTATGGCAAAGTCTTCAAAGTAATCAACAAGAAAAATGAAAGCAAAGCTGCAGTTAAAGTTCTTGACCCAATCTATGTGAGTGATATTGGCTTTTGGATTGCACCCCATTCTGGCATTTTTATATTTTACTTGAAACCTCCAAATGCACAAATAATAATAATAATAATAATCCTTGCATTTGATATAGCGCTTTTCACGTCTTCTAGACGTCCCAAAGCGCTTCACAGAATATACTGTAAAGTGAATTGACTGTATATTTGTGGGCGAACGCGGTAGCCAATTGCGCACAGCAGTGTCCCACAAACAGTCGTGGATTGAAAATGACCAATTTATTATTGTTTTGTTGATGAATGAAATGAATCTACTCAAAGTATATGTAGCAGTCATGGCACTGTTTGAAAAGGGAAGGGAGTTTCTCTCTCCTGATGCCAAGAATCTCCCAGATAAAATTGGTCACTCATGTCATGGGTGTTTGTGGGATATTGCTGTGTGCCAATCGGCTGCCTCATTTCCCTACAAATGCAGTCACTGCCCCTTACATTATTATCCTGTGAAGTGCTTTGAGATGTCCTCCACAAGGCACTAATGGAATCATTAGTTCTTCTTATTATGCTTATCTTCTGAGCAACCAGTTGAATAATATCGGGTAGAAAACTTGTTTTCTTCTTGAAGCTATATTTAGGTCCCATCCATCTTTGCAACTCCTGTTGCATCATGTTTCAACCGAGATAAGTTTATGCAGAGAGGCTATTGATGCTGTGGCTTTCATTAATGCTGACGGCTGCTGTGACTCTTTCAGTCTATTACAAAGAAAGCGTTATATCACAAACAATGGAAACTTTAGACATTTCACCACTAATGTTGCCATGCATTTTACGGCATAAAAATCGATATGACAATATTGAAGTGATATTTTGTATTCAATGCTTATGTTAGTGATGAAATACAGTAACAATACAGTATTTTAACTTTACTTTAAATATTAGGATCTGACAAAAAAACAATTGCTGCAATATCACAATGGCCCTTTTGAACTGAGCTGACTGTCAAAAGTAGGTCATATTCTAGTTGAGCTGATTTAAGCGGTCGCTATCTACTTTTCCCCAGCGCAGTGTACATGCGTGTAAACGGCCTGCATGACAGACACACTTTGTGCTTTTGAATCAGCCGGTTTGTAGTCGATGAATATAATTGACTTCGGTTTTATTGAGCGGTGCAGCAAAGCCACAAAGGGTATAAAAGGAAACTGTGCCAAGACGCAACATTAGATAAGGGTCTGAACTGGTAAGTTTGGTCTGGTGCTAATTCCATTAGATCTGCCAACTTTGACCCAATACACCGAGTCTCTCACATCCATGTATCGGATTAAAAGTTAAACAGCAAAACTGAATCAACATTATCCCCATCCCCTCAGCCCTGACCCTCAGCTCTGATGCAAATCCTGGACTACCCAGCACATTGGGATGTCCTCCTAACGTGAAAGGTACTTCAAAATGTAAATTTGTATTACAATACAATACTACATTTGTATAGCGCCTTTCACCTATTTCATTATTCATGTACTACAGAAGCACTGCTTAATGTGATAATGAGCTACATAGACCTAGAATTCCCTCTGGTCTGTGCTGGGTTAGCAAATCTCAATCATAACAACAGTGACGGTGCTATGACTGACCTTATTATCACTAGGTTGGGGAAGAGGGGGAATCATTCACTCCTAACATTGTTTCCTGGAGAAAAGTGAGTGTAATTGTTTGGTTGAAGAGAGGATTAAGCTGATGCAACCTAATGGAAAATAGCCTGCGAACACTTACTGTAAAAACTCTCAAGTGAAGCATGTTCATTGTGTGAGATACCAGAGAGCTCCTAGCACCCGTGAAATCAAACGCCTGCCATGAAAAGTGGGAATAAACACAGCCCCACAAATACCACAGACATCCACTACTTTCGATATTTTAAACTTTCCGTAATTGTTTTCGATAAATAAACCTATCGTTAGGGAATTCTTTCAAGCCAAAAACCCTAACGGATAGCGCGATCCTAGCTGGCAAACCCCTCTCAATGGGAAACTAGGCAATTTTAAGTGGCTTAAACTCCAGCTGTTAACCCCCAGTGCACACTCAGGGTCTCCAAACCTTGGCTCTTGCCAACCTGCAGCTAACACTCTCCAGAATTAAGGAACAAGGATGAGTCCCTCTGGGGAGAGAATGTGCACTCCATTGCAGACCTGGGAATTTATATATGTAGGTGGCATATATATGTGGAACTCTCGGTCTGGATACTCTTAAGTATGGTGAAGGATTCCCATGTGTCAGACACCCAGCTGACCAAAAACAAAAGTGACGCGTGCTCGACTGGGAGCTCGGGGTACAAGGCACAAAGAGTCTCAACTGTTTGATTTGTTTGATTGAACATTGGGTGAAGTTGTGCAAAGTTCATCCCATCTAAGGTGCTGTAATACTTGCCAGAGCTGCCGCTGAGAATCTTACACCCATTGTATTGTTTCTCTTTTCCCTTGGTGTTAGGATATTGATGAAGAAATTGAGGCTGAATACAACATCCTCCAGGCTCTATCGGATCATGAGAATGTTGTCAAGTTCTACGGAATGTACTTCAAGAAGGATGTAAAGAACGGAGATCAGCTCTGGCTTGTGCTGGAGGTAGAGTATTATTTATTATATCTGCAAAGCTCCTACTTTTGCAACCCACCAGTTTGTGCAATGATAAGGAAGATATTCAGGAAAAATTGGGGGAAAATTTGTTGTGTTCCTTGAAGTGTTCTCTATCCTATTTAAGGAATATGAGCAGGTGGCATCCCTCTCCGGTTTGTTCCTTTCTGGGTTTGAACACTTTTTTTGATTAACAATGTTTTCCGAATATTGATCTGCCAAAATAGGTCTGAAATCTAAATCAGAAAAGTTAACTTTTGACAATCAGTACAGGAGTTTCAAGTTTTCCTGTTCCTTGTATATATTAATGATGTGGATTCACAGACCCAGTGTAATGTATTTACATTTTCAGATGGCAACAAGTTGAGGGGACCTATGGAATCAGAGAAGGGAATAAATAGGTATATAACATTTTAAATGGATTGAAAAAGGAAATCTAGAACAATACTGTCAGATGCACCAAGACAGTAGAATGAGAGGAAATGGGTTTAGTTTTGCAAAGGGCAATTTCAGGACAAATACCAGGAAGTATTTCTTTACCCAGAAGGTAATTAATGACTGGCACAGGTTACTAGGAAACCCAGGACCCTGGGCTCATTATAACTTGATGTTGTGATCGGAAGACAATAGGGTGAGTATTGTGGTTAAATGAAATAGGCTGAAGGGCCTTCTTCATCTGAACAACAACAACAACTAGCATTTATATAGCGCACTCCACCCAGGGTAGCATCTTAGAGCGATTAACTGTGAGGGAGCCTGACTCCTAGCCGGGGGGAAGGGGGAGGTGACTATAAGCACCTCCCCCGGCTTGGAGGCCCTCTGGTGATCTTGTGTAAGTGGATGAGAAAATTACGGGGATAAGAAATTCCACAATGTTGAGATCTGGCCATTGGACTGGCTTGAATTTGGATCGCAACAGAGTCAAGACACAGGGGCAAGTGTATGTGGGATGATATATTTTATTGAATAGGACAGCTTCGGTGGAAATAAGTCATAGAATCAATACAGATACTTACAAACGGTGAATAAATTATTAAAATATAAAAGCAGAATTCTTTTCACCACTTTGTTTATAAATATAAAATCAAATGCAAGAATTATTAATATGATCATCATTATTGTTTTTAACATATGTGTGCCATTCTACATATATAAATTTCCAGGTCTGGAAAGGAATGCAAACTCTCTCCCCGGAGGAACGCATCCTGGTTCCTTAATTCCAGAGAGTTTTACCTGCAGGTTGGAAGCATTATTATTATTAATAATAATCCTTGCATTTGATGTAAATTGTTATTCTTATTATGAACAATATCACATGTGGCATACAGCAGGATGTAAATGTGGTGTTGCACCAGCATTCTGAGTGGAAGAAAACATTCCTTGTGGTTGTTTCACAACAACAACTTGCATTTATATAATGTCCTTCATGTGGGGTACCATCTCGGAGCACTGAACAATGGCATAGCTTGACACTGAGCAAGGGAGAAAGGGGAGGTGACCGTAAACACAGTTGAAGAGGAAAGTCTTCAGGTGCGATCTTTAGACCATAACAGTTTTGAGTCAGTGGCTATAAATGTTCTGCTTGGAAACAAGAAAGCTTCAGAAATATAAATGCACCGGCGGATGGGTGGGTGGTTTATCAAAGGTGATGTTTGCTTGTTAATAATGAACATCCCGTTTTAGTGATTATTGTAATCCCGGAGGCTTGGTTTCCATGTCAGACAGCAAAATGTTACATCACTGCAAATTACTCCTTGAGTGTTTCGCCAGAAGTAGATAATTAATATGTCAGAAATTGTAGAATAGAAAAGGAAACAGTGGAAACTGGTACCATTAAACCCACCGACCTGCTTCTCTTTTGTTCCTTGTTTAACCATATCTGCCCAACTGATACCTTTATAAGTCATAATAATATAATTATACGTTTTCAGCAGCAGATCTTTCTGCAACTCTTCATTCTCTAATTATCTTATCAATTTCTCTTTGTGATTTGCCTTAGTTAATTATGAAAGTATTTCTTTCAAAAGCTTAATAATAATATTATCCTTGCATTTGATATAGCGCCTTATCATGTCTTCGAGACATCTCACAGAGTTTCACAGAATGTACTGTATAGTGAATTGAGTGTATATTTTGTGGTCGAAATGTGGCAGCCAATTGCACACAGCAGTGTCCTGCAAACAGTCGTGGATTGAGTGACCAATTTATTACTTTTTTTTGGAAGGAATTATTATCCCCGGAAAAGTGATCCGCCAATCAACTAACAACCGGGTTCCTACTTACTGCTAGGTAAACAAAGGTGTGTGGAATAAGGAAACTTCCCCAACATTTCGCCCTGCCAGGAATCAGACCCAGTTCTCTCGCTTGCGAGGAGAGTGCTTTAACTACTAAGCTGTAGGACTCCATTATGAAGCATTGTTATTAAAAGCTCCAATACATAATAACCCTAAAATAGTCATGAGTCATTAGCAAATTGCTCTCAGACAGAGTTTGGAGGCACAAAGAGAGTGACTCACCTATTTCTTTGTGAAGCAAAGCTTTTGCAGCATCTCTACAATCTCTCCATAATTGACATTGTGACTTAACTGGTGTTCACAGTAAGGGTTAAATAACAAATTCTTTTGTGTGTTTTCAAAGAAATATTTTCTATTTAAGAAAAGCAACTTTTAGCACTTGTCCAAGCACTTCTTTGTTGAGATGTAATTTATAAAATGATGAAAGCTCAAGCATCCAATGTTTATAAACATCTTTCTCCTTTTTTGAGATAACCGCTTGACATTCTTGAGGACTATTTTTTGAAAATAGCAGCCTTTTTGCAGGAAACTGAAATGATGAGCAGAGGTTTTACTTCTGCACAGCATCCAACGATGACTTGCTCACAGGCATTTCAATTTGCTTGCATTTGTATAGTCCAGGCTGTCACTTCAATGCAGCCTTAGGGATGTGGTGTATTGTTGGAGCTGTCATCCTTCAGATGAAATGCTAAAACTAAGGGCCTGTCTGCCTGTTCAGGTGGATGTTAACGATCCCATGGCACTGTTCAAAAAGAGAAGAGAGTTTCTCCCAGTGTCCGAGCCAATAACCCCCCAAATAAAATCAATCACTCACTCCATGGCTATTCGTAGGAGATTGCTGTACACAAATTGGCTAACTCAAAGGCTACAAAATACACAATCACTATACTTTACAGTAAAATCCTATGAAGGGCTTTGAGATCTTTACCATCCATGGAAACAGATAGACGGGACAACAACAACAATAACAACAACTTGGATTTATATAGCGCCCTCCACACTGGACGGCTTCTCAGAGCGCTTCCCAGTAACGGATCCCGGGACCGAGCCGGGGGGAGGGGGAGGAAGGTGACCAAAGGCGCAGTCGAAAAGAAAGGTCTTCAGCAGAGACCTGAAAATAGGAAGAGAGGGAGCGAGGCAAAGGGAGTGAGGAAGGCAGTTCCAGAGCCTCGGGGCATAGTGTCTGAAGACACGGCCGCCGAGGGTGGAGCGGAGAACTCGGGGAACAAGGAGGAGGCCAGACCCGGAGGAATGAAGGCAACGGGCACTGTTTTGAGGAGAGAGGAGGTCAGAGAGGTAGGGGGTGTGCAGAGGAGTGGAGGGCCTCAATTCAACATCTCATTTAAAGGACAGTACATCCAACAACGCAGTATTGGAGTGTAAACCCAGACTGTGAGTTTAAATTTCCAACATGGGGCTTGAACACCTAACCATTTGACTTACAGGCGAAAGTGCTCAATATAATATTGCACTAAATATAATATTCTCCCCCCAATCGTTTTCCAATCAATTTCAGGTAATTACAGGGAATAAATGGTACGCCCTAGCTGGTCACAATCCAATATTTAGATGTTGAGCCCCGATATCATCTTTTATTAACAAAACCCATTTAAAAGATTTACAAGGAATGTATGCACAGAAACAGGTCACATGAGTCTCCACCCACTCCGTAATCCCTCCCATACCCTTACATTCCCCTTTCCCTCATGTTTCCTCTGAAATGCATCTATACTATTTGATTCAACTACCACTTTGGGTAGTGAGTTCCACAATCTCACAACTCTCTGCGTGAGGCAGTTACTTCTAATTTCTTCTGATATTATTTTCTACCTTCCCCACTTCACACAATATTCCTGATAATTGATGGCGTGCAGTGACCTAATGCCCACAATCCACTTCATCTTAGCTCGTGAGGCAATTTTGCCTTAAAGTTGAAGTTCACAAACTCTCAGCAGTGATCAGAGGAATGGAGTCCATCTACAATGTGGAGTACTGTACCTTGATGGTTAGAGTACTTGACTTGCAAGCGAGAGGACCTGGGTTCAATTCCCAGCAGCGCGGAACATTGGGCAAGTTTCCTTACTTCACAAGCCTCCGTTTACCCAGCAGTAAGTAGGGACCCGGTTGTTAGTCGATTGGCGGATCCCTTTCCCTTAAAAAAACAATAATTATTTGGTCACTTAATCCATGACTGTTTGTGGCACACAGCTGTGCGCAATTGGCTACCGCATTTCGCCCATAAAACATACAGTCAATTCATTTTACAGTTTAATCTGTGAAGCGTTTTGAAACGTCTAGAAGATGTGATAAGGCACTGGATCAAATGCAAGGATTATTATTGCTCGTGCAACCTACCTCTCTGTAACATCAACATATTAATGCACCAATGCACAGAACCACATAAAACATGAAATTGAGCAGAGTTCAGGCACAGACCTGACCCCTGACTGTCCAGCGTCCTCCCGACATGAAAGACGCTCTATGAATGTAATTTTATTGTTGTTGTTATTGGACCAAGAATCCAGGAAATTTAATTATTAGTTTTGCTGGAAATCTCATTTTTACCTATTAATTCCCAAAGTTGTTTTTCTGAAAAAAATACAAAAAATGTATTTTGTTACTTTAATGAAACCAGAACTCAGTACTGTTGTGTTTTTTAGTTGATTTAGTCTGTGACTGTGGAGACCTTGAGTTCAG